ACCTATTGTATGAACAACAGAGATCCCGCAGCACCGAAAAAGATCTATTTTATCAAAAGCTTGTGTGTGATAAGTGAATAAGAGGACTGGTGAATCAGAGCAGGGACGTGCCTGCACAAAGCCAATAAGGGCAAGGCAAAACCACAGGCAACCATTTCAAGTTCAAACTAAACTGCGCCTATTACATGATCAGAAACATACAATGCTACTGAGCATTTCATTCTATATGACAACAGTGACCTCTCATCTCGGGTCACTTCTCTGGGCGAGTGCAACAGAGTGTACTTCATTCAAAGGCCCTCAAGCAACCGCAGTTTACAGAAATAATCTTGGTCACTTCACAAGACCCTTTTGGTATAACGTCTAATTTAAACCCAGCGTGTATCCTCATATAGATCCTAGACCATATTTCGCTGTGTACAGCAGCACAGTGTGTGTGTGTGTGTGTGTGTCTATGCGTGTGTGTCATACAGCACCGTGAGAGTTCAGCTGGCACTGGTCAAAACATTCCTCTGACAGACCACACAAGCTAACCACTGTATGCCTCTCGAAGGCTACAACAGCAGCAAAGAGCCCAAAGAAGGAAAAGTAACAGTGGCGCGCGTGTGTGTGATGGGAGTGGGAGATAGTGTGGAAGATGAAGATGGCATCGCCAAACAGAGAGAGAAGTGGAGACAGACAAAAAAATCAAGACTCAAGGATGTCACAGCAAGACTTACTGAGTTGAGGGTTAAAGTTTGCTCCATGTATGGCGTTGTGTGCGTGTGTTTGGCTTCTCTTCAGTGCTGCTCCGCACGCCTGCCGTGTGTAAACGGGTCCATCCGCTAGAGTGCCGCGGTGCGTGTGCGATAGTGTTTGCAGTGCAGAGGAGACAGAGCTCAGTGGGGGGAGGAGGGGGCGTGCAGGAGAGCCGAAAATCCTGACAGCTACTGGGAGTTCAAAAGCTCCCTCTCTCTTCCTCTGTTGCCGGTTCCCCTCTCTCTCTGTCTCTCGCTCTCTCTCTGCTGTAGATTCCTCCTCTTTCCCTCTCTGTTCACCTCCCTCCCCGTGTCTGTGTCTTCATGCCTCCTCTTGGTTTCTGCTACGCCCACAGGATAGATCCATTACTCGCAGGCGTGCAAACAAGATCTACTAATGTCTCCACACCTAGAGGGAGAGGAGCAACTTCACATCCAGGGAGCAAAAGAGCTGTCCCCCAAAATTTGCATTTGCATTGACTACATTGACTACACATTAACAGATGTTTTCACATGCAGCAACACCTCAGAAGAAGACAAGAGTCAGTGTGAACACTAATGGTGTCACCTCTGCAAAGTTGAAAACACTGTCATCTGCTGAGCAGCGGCGGGGCGCAAAGCATGTGTTTGGAGCTGAAAAAACAAGGAGTCTGTGATGAGAAGCGGCTCATAGTGGTGGAGCGTAGCGGAGGGCGTGATGTGGGGGCCATTTGCAGTAGGGCTCTGACAAGTGCTGTGCAGAAACAGGCGCATGCTTCGATATGCCCAAACAGAAGTGGATCTGACAATAAAAGCTCAGCATGCATCAAAACACTACACACAAGACACACAAGATATAGGCAAAACAAGTCGGCACTAACAAAGAATTCTACAGCAGTTTCTCCCTCTACTGAATCAGAACAGGAACACATTCAAAATGTATGTCTCTGAATATATATATATATATATATATATATATATATACACACACACACACACACACACACACACACACACACACACACACACACACACACTGTCCTAACTTGGTGTTTGGGTTGCAAAATCTATGTGGCAGAGCCTTTGTAATGTGAAGATAAATAAAAAGCATTTGCTCATTCCTGTGCTAGCCACTGTGACGCACACCGCCGACCGTGGAAAAAGCAACACGGCCACACGCGTCCAAATTGTTCTGGGCTCGTCCACAACATGCAGCGAGGCCACATACAGGGGTTATCCGCAGGGGTCTGCCCTGAGCACTGATGGTGAACTTCAAAACAATCTCACGGTGTCCTTGTGAGTCCAGATGCATGCACTGACTGAAAGCTTATCACGTATTTTTTGCAAACCTTGCCGTGAGAACAGTCCCTTAGAACATCCTTCACGACAATGTGCAAGTTAGAAAGCGTGCCAGGAGCCAAACACTTCAACCCCCTTGAGTTCGTACGCACGCGGCTATCACTGAATATGTATAGGCGAGGAGTCACTTGAGGTCAACTGTTCGGTGTGGTACGTAGTCTTGATAGGTTTATCATTCATTATCTGTATTCTCTCTGAAGTGGAGGAAAAAGACAACAAGTACTTCTCTAAATCTTTTGCTAAAGATAAACCGTAAACTTTTCCATAAGTGTAAGTGTGAACAGAACTACCACTGGCTATTGGTTGGGCTTTGATTTGCTGTAGAAGCGCACCCTCTGATCTCTGACCACAGTCCACTGTGAAGCTCGGCTCTTGAAACAAGAGACCAGGGGGAAAGTGCTAGGTGAGTGTCTCATTGCCTTTGACATTCCCTACGCTGTTTATCCTTGGGCTGTTTGGGCCGACCATGACATAAAACTGCAAGAGGTAAATGACTGTGCTTGATTAGATGCGGTCCGAATACCTACGAGAACTGATTTTCTGATTTCTTGGATGTTATCTCATAGGAGATAGAGACAGAGAGATATCACTGCCAGAGGTTTTTCTAATCAGAGATGGCCTGTATCAGTGTGTGACGGCCAACATTGCAGCGCAGAAATTATATATGTTTCTGACAATTTAGAAACAATGTTGCCACATGATTACGTAGTCGCCACCAAGAAGCACTGACATGTTTATTTTTCAACAGTAAACTACCCAGATTGGGGCATAAATAGGTAATAATTCCTTGAGAATCAAATTGAAGGCACGCTTATTAAAACTGTTTGTCTCAGTTTATCTGTCACTGGCTGATATGAACTTGTAAAGATTTGGACGGGGAAATTGAACGTTCACTTCACTCCTTCAAAACTGCAGTTGATGTGGCTCCGTGCAAAACAAACAGCAAACACTTCTGTTTGCACAGCTGTGACTATGTCAAAGTTTGAATAGAAATGGATTCCCCATAGTGGTCTGATAAAATCTGGTGTTTGCCTTGAAAAAGACAATGAAATATTCTTTTTTTATTCGTTTGTCATCAAAAGGTATCTTATGTAACCAAAAACACACGGTGACATACCTGCACCAAGAAGCTTTCTGAATACAGATTTTCAAAGGAGACAATGAGAAGCAGATCAGCCAAGTTCTACGCAATCAAAAATCCACATTCATAACTCAATACAGCATCCCAATCCAAGTTTTGTTGAATAATATGGGTTCTATTTTCCACAATACATAAATGCCAAACCAAACGTCAGCTGATTAAAGTCAGCCATTTAAACAACAGCCAACATGTCAGAGCTTGAAAATGTACAGAAGCCATATTACCCACAATGCTCGCATGTGTAGGGCCAGTGTTTTGTTAAGTTTTTTCTTACTAAGACTTCCGACATATTAGACCAGCCTGAACCTGCCTCTCCCTATTGATGTCACAGTAGCTCCTGTAGAGGTGTGAAGTCCAGGTAGAACAGGCGGATAAAACATTATGTAACAAGGCAAACTCAAGTTGTAAGAAAGAGAACTCAACACAATAATCTATAAGTGTGAAAGTGTAAAAAATAAACTGATTACAGCAGATAAAAGCTTCTTAGTTCTCTACACTTTAAACTGAACAGAGAGCGGGGCATAAATGTCTCATAACATGTTGAAAAAAAGCTGCATCAGTTGTTAGGGATGATAATAAACTCTGGAAAGATGCAACCTAATTTGCAACTGATGGGAAGCCATAACAATAGCAACTAGATATAATGAAACACATCACCAAACCAACAAAAACAAATCAGCCGACTTGGAGCTTAGAAACAAAACAAAAACATGTGATTTACAACTTCTTTAAAAGACAAGATAACCCAAATAGAACACGCAGTAAGGATACGGTGGGAGAACCATAAGAAGCTAGAGGATATTTCTTAAGCACACTGTGGACTAGTGATTACTGTAAATCGACAATGAAAGAAGGCATAATCGTTGTGCTATGTAAGAAGAAACTCTGCAGCTGTCCTAGCCTTTTATAGCCATCTTTAATCCTGTGGCTGTACATCTGGGGCAGACCTGCTCAAAACCTGGTGCTTTTCAACAACAGCACTGTTTAAGAGTGCTGGGACAATCCCGAGGAGATCTGTGCTGTGCCTCTTTGAGTACAATGTGTGGTCTGCGGGCGTGTCTGTGTGTGACTGTGACTAATGCGTGGATATGCAATACAGTGTGCCACTTTTTGGCTCGTCTTTGTGCCTGTTCACATGCTTTCAGAGCAATTAAGAGATGTAGGAACAGCGAGTGTGTGTGTGTGTGTGTGTTTTTGTGAATATGAATCAGCATTGCATGAGTAATGCACGCATGCATGCAGAGACCATCGGAGAAACAGAGTTCCCCAGCAACATTTATATGAGAAAATGCGAGCACGATATTCAGTCGTGCAGCAGAGCTCATTAGAGGGGCCAAACAAACAGCGCCGTGGCTCTGGTCCACACAAAGGCCACTTTGTGAGTCGCCCCGTGGTGCAAGTGTAGCAGCAAACGCAGAGTTCAAGGCAACGGAAATGAAAGGTTGAAAAATAGCTGAAAGTGGAGCAGAATGAGAAAGGGGGATGGTTCACCTGAATGTCCACATTAGTGATCTATGTTCTGCATACAGGCCCAGCAGAACTGGACATACAGAAGACAGTCATTTTATGAACATTATAATTTTAAAAAAGCCTTTTGAAAAAAACATGACATTGAAACTCTAGAAAAGCACTGATGATCCATTTTTATAAAAAAAAAAAAATGTTGTAGCGGAGCCAGGGCAGAATGAATTAAATTAAGCACTTACAAAATATGAATTTTCTGATTTTAGCAGAAATCAAACCTCTAGGAAAACCAATGAAAAAGAAAAAAACTTGATGCCTACCTCAAGGTCATCCAGTGATCGTGCCAGGCTGAGACGTTTGGCAGAGCGACGCTTAGAGGCTCGGACAACACCCATACCCCAAAACCTGGAGCCCTGTGAAAGATAAAGGAGACAGATGAGCCAAGACACAAAGTAAATAACACCCTTATCTTTGTGTTATTTGCATTTTATTCCGGCTAGCAGCTTTGATCTTGTGAACCCCCATGTGAATTAATGCCAATAATTCTGGGTCCAAGTTACTGTAATTCAATTCAAATCAATTTAATCACATTCACTGTTACAGTCATTACTGGTCTTGAAACTCCAAGAAAATGCATCTTCCTAAAAGTTTGAAAAACTAAAAGATAAAAATAGAAGTTGTAATAAACATTACTTTGTAAGATTCAAAAAGCAAAATCATTCAAAAATACTATACTAGTATACTTTTAAATTTATATAAAAAGTAACATTTAAAACACACTGACTCTAAGACAATATTCCATGACATAAAGTGTTTGTGTGCAGAGTTATTCATAGAGTGTAAGAGTAAATGAAAATGTAACACTACCAAAGTGAGAAGTGACCGTGAGGTTGGTCAGTTAAAGTAGATGTCTAGAAATATCAGATTTTCTACTAGATTTGAGAGCTTTCCCTACCGAAGCTTCTGCATTTACATACAACCGGTAATGACACACAGCCCAATCTGACATCATTCAGATTGGTCACATACCCAAGTACCAACACAGAAGCACGAATTTCCCAGTCTAAATGTCAAAAACTACCATAAGACATCAGATAGATTGTCTTTCTGCCAATCATCTTTGAAAAGATAATTCTGTTTCACCATCCACCCCTATTCTTCTGATTGAAGAGGCTGTGTCTAATGTTTGAACGAGAGTTTAAGAATTGCAGATAATTACCGCTGCATGGCATGGGCTCTACCCTGTAATTTGCCTGGCTTCCTGTGCAAGATTGTCGTCTTTGTGATCTAACGCAAGCTGGGGGACAAAGACACCATCCACTTATACAAACACAGCAATATACTTTGCTTAAATAAAGTTGACATCAACAATGCAGACCGTAAATGGAAACAACAGAGATTTTGCTGCTGAACTTTGTTAAATATACACTGGACATATCCTAAAATCTAAATTGAATTTAGATTTCCAGTAGTCTACACAAACATTTTAGCATTAATGGCAACTAATTGCAGTCAGTTATGTGGCTGAGAGAAAGAAAGGCAGACACACCACTGATTTCCTGAGGGAGGCTCATTTCCGGGAATACATGGATGCACAGGGCCATCTTGTGGGCAATGAGTACACTAACATACAAAAATAAAAAACCTGCTTCCTTCTCTCCACGCGTTTATGACAATGACATCATTGACTTACAACAGGTGCTTTCTCAGCTCAGCTCACACTCAGCACCAATTGACTGTTGAAATAGTAGTATTGTATTTCATTTTAGGTGCCACCAAAAACAGGCTTCCTAACACGCCCTCAGTGTCTGGAAACTCAACTCCATATGACCATTTAATACTTCCTGTGTCGCTGTGTTGAACATGAATGAAGTACAGAAACAAATGCTTGTCTCAGTGTGTCTCCACTTACAATGGAACCATTTGTCACCGTACGTAAGGATTTCTCATGAACGCATGGCTAAGAAATTATCTGCAAGGAGCCTATTCACATATTCAAACTACAGCACAGATGGAAGAGCATGTACTATTGATCAGTTAATGTTCATTCAAAAAACGCTGTTTATTTTGTCAACATATTTGCCAAGTATTGGATATGTTTTTACCTCTTCAGGCTTCTAACAAGAAAATAAAGGAAAAAAAACGCCTGTTTAGTTGAACTGGTCACAACCGGTAGACACAACCAGTAAAAAGGGGTAATAAGTAGTAATTTCTTTGTTTAAAGGGGACTGAGATCCACTTCCCCTGTGTGACCTGACAAATCAACATTTCTCAAAGATTACAGATTAAAGAGAGCCTCTGCCACTATGAAAAGAATTACTGTTTTTAAATGCTGCTGATGCTGAAAAAAGTGTCTTACTTACATTTTTGGTAGTACCATCTTTCCGCTGTTTCTCTCTCTGTTCAAGAAACCTTTTGGTCCATTCCTCTCTGGGAGGGAGCATCACGACCTCTGCTGACCGGTACCTGTCTGAGGGGATCTGGCTCATGGGGGGAGGCAGGCTACTTGTGCTGTTGCCAAGGCTAGCGCTAGAGGACCAGTTGGTGTTGGACGTCACCTGACGCTCAGTATCACTACTGAGGGCTTTTGGCCACTTTGGCTTGGAGAACCACCTTTGGCTTCCTCTAAGAGGATCTCCGAAGAAGTTTGTTTTTTTCCCCAAAGGCAGAGGAGGTGGTGGGGGCTTAAACTGGAACTCGAGCCTGGGTGGGGGACCCCCATAAAAGCTAGTGAGAGAATCAGGACCAGGTAATGACTCTGAAAGGGAATGTGTGCTGGCACTGTTCTCCGGATTATGTTTTTGGCCATTCTTGGAGAGATTTATTGGGGTGAGGTCTTCAGCCGGAGGATAATCCCATGGACAGCTGGGGAGGTGGGCCCCAGGGTGGTTTTGGATTGCAGAAGAGAAATCCCTGTCCGCTCTCTCCTCAGGGGGGGAAGCATTTCCAATACCACTGTCCCCATTGCTGCTTGCGCTGCCTTGTTTTCCAGTGCTGCTAGTCTCCTTGGCTTGCTGCTGAGCCTCCATGTCCAGTTTGACTCGAAGCCTCTCCACAGCCTCACCCATGTCACTGTACAGGACTGTGACAAACTGAAGAACATCTGGGGGAGTCTGAGGGAATTCCAAGCAGCCCAAGGCATCTGGATCTGGAGTGCAGTCGAAGCCAAAGCGTCCGGCAATGTCTACGTGGTCCCCATGGATTCCCAGCTCTGGGTCGATGAAGAAAACATGGCAGGAGGCTCGCAGAGGACCATCCTCTGGTACGCGGCCATTTATTATATGTGCTGTAGTGACCAGGCATAAAAAACGAGGGTCTTCAGCACACACGGCCCCTAAAACCAGGTTCTCAGCAGGAAAGGCTGCCAAAACAGCTCCTGCGTCGTCACAAAGTCGGATGCAGTCAAACATTATCTTCATCATCACCAGAGTATGTGTGTCCTGCTCTGTTCCCAGCTGTCGTATTCGCTCCCGAATGGCCTTCAAACAGTCCTCCTCTGATTCTGTAGTGTTTAAAATCAGCTCTGTGGAACTCAAGTAGCCCACCACCAAGGTCATGTTTAAAATACTCCAGTCAGTATTAGCATCTTCCGTGTCTGTAAACACAGAGTCTGTGTCCCCCGCTCTGGAAGTTTCCTCCTTTGGCTGCACAGCTAAAGAGTTCCAGTGTTGTGACCACTGCGACATATCAGGCTCTGACACAGGCCTCTGTTTGGCGATGACAGCATAACTTGAGTGAAAGGAGGAATTGCTTGAATCGTCCGAGATAGTGCGGAGAACGCCTGCCTTTTGGTTAATCCCGAATTTTGCATCATTAAGGATGGGGTTCCCCATAACTCGGCTGTGCACATGCACCACCAACTGCAAGGGTCCTTTGCAGCTACCAATCAACTGCACCACAGTCTCGTGTGGAGCAGCGGACACATCAGTCCCATTGATTGCCATGATGTGATCCCCCTGTTTGAGTCCCACCAGGTCAGCAGGGCTTCCCTCCAGGATGCCACTCAACAAACACGGCCTCTGTCCCGAAATAGTAAAGCCATATCCTGCCCGACCACGGATGACCTCCACACCCCTGAGCTCACCGACTGTATTTAAATCCAGATGCCTCCTTGCGCCCTCAGGCTGTCCCTGTATCCTCATCTTTGTTGTAGGTTGCTGTGAGATCCAGTGTTTGGGAACTGAAACACTATTGTGTTGTTGTCATCCTGCAGTTACACAAAGTGGGCAGAAACAGGAAGAAAGTAAATTTGAAAATCAGTTTGTCATTTTATACAAAACATAAAAACATAAGACTTCACATAGGATTGCACAATAATTCAGTAGCTCAACAGCTTTCAACAAAGACATGTTGCAGGGGCTGCAACTAACACTTATCGATTAATCTGTCAAACTCCTGTTTGAAATTGTTTATTTGTCTTGTCAAAATCAGTTTTCCCCAAATGATGCGCAAACAACAAAACCCAAAGATGGGTTATTTAATTTAAGGTAATTTGAGACAAAATAAAGCAGGAAATCTTCACTTTTCTCCAAAACTTAAACAATTTAATCATCACAAAAAAAATTCAAATTCATTTTCTGAAGATCAGCTTATCGATTGACTGTTTCAACTCTACATTACAGATAATTTATATTATAGTTAATATTTTATGCTTGAATAATAGATACTTTTTGCTGAGAATTCCTTTACAAAACACACTTTAAATCAAACAAGAAAAATAGAGTGTATGTGTATGAGCTCTTTTTTCACTCTCACTAAAGTCATTTATGAAGACAAGCACTGCTATCAATCTCATTTTAGCAATTATCTGTCAGAGATAAGACACACAGCTTTTATGTCCCAACACAGCTTGCAAATTACTCCCATTCACCCCTCCACCCACTCCCCCAAAACGGAGTGCCAGCTGGCTCCCTACTCGCCAACAACACTGCAATGACAACCAGACTCTTTGGTTTCTTTTTAAATGTTATCACCACACAGCGTAAACATTTTCACACACCTGAGGAAGCAGAGAGGCTTCTTCCGATAAAAACTTTAAACCGATGTTACACTCGCACGTAACGTTAGTTTAGTCTGAAACTATCCGCACCATGAAGCTATTTGAGTACTAACTTTAACTTAAATTACCTTTTCCAGGGGTGAAACGTCCACAAAACTCCCACGGATTTACATTCGGCGTTTACATTTTTCGCATTAATGTTACACGTCCTTTACTTACTGAAAACAATATTTTCGTGCCGTGATTCAGTTTAGTCCATATGGCACCACCACCCCTCCATTCACTCACCGCGGCGACCACAAAGCGTCTTTCATTGTAACCATGACAGCGTAACGTCTCTGGGTCATGTGACATCTCCTTCTGACCAATCAGCGCGCCCGTCACGTTCAATATTCAAACTGTTGACTTGATGCTATTGGCTGATATGGATGACAGTTGACAGCCTTTGTTTTGCTCCAGAGCAAATCTAATTAGAAAGCCTTTAAGTTATTTAACTAAAATATAGACATAGCCTACTGGGATTGAATAATTCCCGCAACACGTCACAAAGGACCTAGTTACATGTATGTATACCTTATATAGCCTATATATATAATTCTTACCTGTATTATTTTGCTTTTACTGCAGCTTCAATCACTTTGCACGTGGATTTCTCCCTTTCTCACTTTGCACGTGGGTTTCTCACTGTCTCTTCTACACTGGAGCAGCAGGACTTTACTACTGTGGATGGTCTGTAAACAATACCTCTCTGGTCAAAGGGCTTCAAGTTTGCATACACTGTCACGTGGCTTATATGTAACAACACAACAGGTACAAACAGCGTTGCATTTTCATTTTCATGTAGCAGTGCCTTCCATGAAGTTTGTGTAGTGTGTGATGGAACCAACTTAATCTCCAGTTCCTCCAAATCCTCTAAAAATAGGACCTTAAAAGACCTTACCTTCTGTGTATTTAGCATTTCATTAATAACCTTGTAGTAACAATGAAAAACAAGAAGTGATTAGACTGTGTGTTGTTTTATTAGCAGAAATGCAGAGATAAGAACAAGGACATCTTTACATCTTAAAGTTTAGAAATCTCAGGAAAGAAAACATGTTTTTTAGCTTCTGACTTGAGGTTTGCATTTGTATCTAATCCTAAATATACAGTGCCACCTCAGATTAAACACGTTATTTGTTTGTCCTTACTCTGTCCAGTTAATGGGCAATAAAGAATCTGTGTGGTCGCAGAGATGCACAATCTTAAGTTGCTGGACGTGAATAGAAGAATGAGCAAGTGGACTCAATATCTGTTTGGGTTGTATTTATTATATCTAAATAAACCTTGCTTTCTACCGTTCTATCAGTTGAAAGCAGGTGCCCTTCATTCTTATAATCGCAGTGTGGCCACTTTCTGAGAGTCACCGTCTTTTCCAGTTTCTTTCTACACAGACACATCAGTATAACATTGTTAAATCAAGGTTAGAAGCAATTCTGTCTCATCCATGGGCGACATTAGGCAACATTTTTTTGTTAATGCTGACAGTACTGCTATTGAGCACAAAAAGGAAATATTTGAGAGCTGCATCTTCTGTTGGTTATGATGCCATTTGCTGACAGCTTGTTTTCTGTTACTTCAATAACAGCAGGGATTATTGCCTCAACTGCTGGTTCATAATGCTACAAATTGCCCTGTTTTGGCATCAAACCTTTGCAATCATGTAAATATCCTGGCACAGTAAAAAAAAAATAATAATAATAAAGTGACAAGATAAGACCCACAGTGATTTTAATAGGGTACTTGACAAATTATCAAGAAAGACGATCTCATACAGCTATCCTAACAAAGACAGCTCAGATTGGAGACTGAATTATGGTGGACGCTAATGTGCCAGCAGTCATCTTCCATTAATGATATTCAGAGTGAGGCCACCTTCAGAAATCGTAACAGCATATTTTTTGTACCTCTCTATACTGCTATACAAGAGCTATACTTTGACATATGCAACACGATAAACCTTAAAAATGTCTGATGTAAACTGAAATGCCTAATAAATATAGGCTACATTTACATTTAGCTTCTACAAGGCTATGGGTGAGGCAAGATCTCTCCCAGTCAACCATAACCCTAACACTTCATGGCTTCCCTGGATCTTTAACTCCACTCTGACCCCACGATGCTGACGTGGCGGAGGGAGGCTGAATCATCTTCTCCAGAAGGTTCATCATGCGCTCCTGCAGCTGCAGACATTGGACCTGCAGGAGGTTCTGTTGGTGCATGGCACGACGGACCTCTCTGCACGTCTCCTCTATGGCCCGGCTCGACCTCCTTTGTTGCTGCAACATGGCCTGCATCACTCGCAGTTTCTTTCTCTTCATGGATAGGTGCTTGTTGGCATGCCTTTTCCTGGCTGAAGTAGGGTGAGAGCTGGAGAAAAGGGAGTTGACCTTTGAGAGCAGGCAGTGTCTTGTAACAAGAGATCACCTCTGGTTTCAAGAGCTCATTGTTAGTAGTTATATGATCTAAAACAGTGTGCAATTTGTTAACATCAGCAACTTTCTCCTAAAGCCAGAAATGACAGAACTAAAGTACCTGAAGTATTTTAAAACATGAAAAATACTGAATAAACTAATTGAATTGACAATGATATATCCTATACACAGTGTATTGCCCTACAAAAGCCAGAGAGGAGAAACGGCATTATTTAGTCAAAATTTAGACCAGAGCTAAACCTGTAAACACCTTTTTGTTATGTCATATATGTATAATTTCAAAGAAAACATTGTAAAAAAAATTGCAGCTAACAGCTACTGCAAAACTCATTTAAACACCAAACCAAACAGTCAGCTACACAGCTAAAGCAAAAGAGGCAAAAGTTAAAGCTAGCTGAAGATAAACACGGCTAAGTTAGCCTTGGCTAAAGCTAATCTATTCACTTTTCTATTTTGTTACTTCATATATGTATAAACCCAACAGCAAACTAACACAGACGACGCTAAAACAAGAGAGCCAAATCCCGCTGAAACTGGTTGAAAATAACCACAGCAAGCCATTGCTAAAGCTAAATTAATTCCATTTTCCGCCACACTGTTTCCTGTAATTGAAATGTATCAGTGTTGATAAACTAACATCATGGCAGTTTTTGTTATCCCATAAAATAAGACAGAGAGCTAAATCCAGTAATCGAGACTAAAAACAGCTGAACTAACGTTACTCGTCCTGCTAAAAAGGTAACTAGCCAAGCTTAGGAGTAACTACCATCACAGCTTTTCTCCAGTGGAATTCACGTTTTGATGGTTAAGCTACTTTTAAAATCACAAACGTAATTATTTATTTATATTGTAATTTATAATACATGTTATTTGTTCATATGTATTCCAAATCTCAAGTTTTTTTCCAAAGGAATATGATTTTTTGTTGTAAAATATTAAGTATCGAGAAAAAAACTCAACCTCAGTTTTTGCTGTACTCCCTGCTCTCTGCTATCTGTAGTACAGCTGCAGAAGTTATGTATGCGTTTTCTCTTGAGCTTACAAGTTGAACTTATTTACTGCCTTTGGTTTCTCTTCCTCTAAAAATATGACACAAATTTCATATGTTATTAATTTAAATATATCCTAAATAAAGGCATTGTAGAAACTGAGTTTGATTTCTTGATGATATTGTTTGCAGAGCCATACCTTTATGACACATGCAAAAGGAAACACATGTAACAACATGGCCGAGTAAACACAAGTAAAGCCTTGTAGGGCCATTTAGTTAGTCAGTTTAGTTAAAAAACTTTGGTGGATTGCTGCCACCAAATGTAATACAAAGGTCAGTCTATCAACCTGTTATTACCTTTATCAGTGACATGCACCCACATAACGTGTATAGTTCCTGTTACCTGGAGCCCTGTGTGTGCTCACTGTCAGAGCTCAAAGACTCCAGCTCCTGTTTTATCTCCATCTCATCTGAGGAGCCTGTGTACTCTGGCAGGAATCCCATCATCCCCTCCTCTGACTGGGGCACCAGGTTGTCTGTAGACTGGGAGGAAGTGGAGGGACCTGCACCGGAGGCATTGAACTCCACAGAATTCACCCGCCCGTTCTCTAGCGGCTTGGAGAGGATCTTCTCGATGGGCTTGTAATACGGCCAGTCCGGCGTCTCCCCACTTTCACTGACTGCGGATTTCAGTCGCCTGTTAGATCAGAAATAGATGTTTAAAGTCATGCAACAGCTGGAGTTTGATGTCATAACTCTGATTGGACATTTGGATTTGGTGCACTTGCCTGTACTGAAAAGACATGTTGGTGATTTTCATCTTGATCTCCTCTTTGAAACGCTGCTCCCCGGTCAGCTGGAAAAACCTCTGGGACATCTTCTCGTAAACCTTAGCATTCCTCTTACTCATTTTCAGTTCGTTGTGGTGTTCCTCCCACACGTACAGGAGGGCTTTCATTTCACCGTCGGTCCAGTTCGGGGCCCGCCTGTGTTTCTCATTGTGGCCTGGCAATAGATAGCTGAAACCATCCTCTGTTGCCATTTTTGAAATGGTTCTCTTGGCCTGTGCCGGCTGTGTTTGCAGAAATAGGATCTTTAGAGGTTGAATTTGAAAGTCTTTTACTGTGCTAAGAGCTGGGTTGAATCTGCAGTGAAGGTGAGGGAGTGATACATGCAGGAAGGCATACACACACGCACACACACACACTCTGTCCTGCCTGTGCCCTTCCCCCTAGCCTAGCTGAAAAAGGACTCAAAATGGGGCCTAAAGCGGGAGACGAATCCGGTTAAAAGCTTTTAGTGGTGCGTGATGTCACTGTGACATCAAGTTGCCCTGGTAACGGCGAGGGAGGCCCTTCGTTTTCCCTCCCTCTCCTTTAACCACTCCCATCCGCTCTCCTTGTCCCTCTATTCTGCTGCACCGGCAGCACAAAAAGCTTTTAGCTGAAAGGCAGCAGTGTGAGCTGCATGAGATTGCTGACAGTTTTGAAATATGAGCCTCTGGGGAGGAGGAGGGGGAGAGAGAAAAGGAGAGCGGAGACTACGGGTATGTGTTTCCCTGGCAACTAGGCACTGGATTTGGTAGTCAGCCAACACACTGCTCCATTTAAAAGCTTTTAATAATAGACAAGTCGTTTTTTGAGACGGGGAGAGGAAGGATATGCTTTATCTGGCACGATGTAGACAAGAGGGAAACACTTCCAGCCTGCAGTTTCAGACCTAAAATGCAAGCAAAAGCCTTTCACAGGATAAACTGTGAAACACTTTAGGTGGAAATGACAGAGAGGAGACATCAGACAAAATGGCAACATGTGGTGATCAACCGCAAGCACCCCCTGCAATGGAATACAAAATGCTTTCTGCTGTTATCAGCTTTCTTTTCATAGCTGTGGGTTGCAGACAATGGACCCCTGCTGGAAGGGTTTCTCTGACCAGTTGGAGACCCCTCCCCCCTTTTAGATCTCAGCACGGGGCGGATCTCCGTCTACCCCCATCTCAAGCACCCTAATCTACCATATTATGTGCATTTTTTTCTCCTAGTCTCTTGCTCCCTTTCTCTCTACCTCCCTCTCTGTTCTCATGTTTCTTTCTTGAATATTTATGCACCTAAGCCACACTGGCTGTTACACAAACATGGTAAAAACCCCAACCCCTCTTTCTCTGCAGCATTTTGCCTCCAGCTTTGTTTTTCTTCTGCCGCCTAAAAAGCTAAAAAATGGTGATGCACAAATACAAGTCTTCCATTTTCACTTCATCTTTATTAGTGCCACTAGTTGCCGTCAGTCCGGCTTAACTCAGTTCTGGCCTGATTAGACCCTTAACCCATCTGCTCCTCAGTAACGTGACAGGCGGCCGGTGCATTTTCATACTGCAAATTGGCAGCTTTGCCCAATCCATCACATCTGTCACTTAAGGCAAATGTTAAGGTCCACAGTTGCAGAAATGGAGGAGCAAATGAAAGTGTGAAAGTTTTTTTGTGTCACTGTTGCCTCCCTTGTGCAGTTAAAAGGCCTGTGTCTCAGTGAGTTAAGAAATGTGATTGGTCTTTTGGGTATGGGTTCATATCGCTTTATTGACTACCTGAAGCTAAAATATTATTTTTTGCAGGGTTGTGATTGTTGTGACAGTTTTTGCTCAGCATTAAACACAGAAAATAATGCAACCATTTAAAAAAGACTCCCAAAGTCAGTCTTAAATCCACACATACTATTTCAGTTATTTCACTATCACAGCAGCACACTAACCATTTGTATTTCAGTATCATGACTGAATCCCTTTTGCTGGGGTCCATTATAATTGTGTTTAATTAATCTCCGTACATTTTCTCATTCATTAAGGTAGAGGTAATCCAGACTACTAATCCAGGAGACAGACTAATCTACAGATAAACTGGTCATGCGCCACTCACGTCTACATGTAGAAGTCAGTAATGTGCGTGATCTATAAAGTCTAACTACAAATGTAAAATCAAATTAAATGACAAGACTAACTAGGATCTATTTTATAGATTTCTAATTTCATCTCGCTTATAACTGAAGAAAATGTAAAAAAAAAAATATTCACAATTACACAATACATTTCTAATGATCTAACGAATATACGTAGGATCAAGATGTATTATCAGCTTATTTAGTAGGCACTAGCAAAGTAAAGTAAACCATATTAAAATGCCTGTACTACTTAAATATTAGTACTTAAAAGTAAAACTCCACTTTCAGTTAAACACAACACAAGGTGTGCTTTTGTTTTGTATGGATGTGTAGATGGATTTTTATCCATTTAAAATGAAACCAATGACACATTAAAGTTAATGACGATGAGAGAGTACATTTTAGTATTCAAATACTGCAAAGAATATTTAGTATTGATACATTTGTCAAAACAAAACTGTAAAAACAGTAGTTGGCATTAGTCTGAAACTCTTTCTGGCAAGGGAATGGAAAAACTGCAGTGTTGCCATGATTTGACAGAAAATATGATTTTTATCTTTCTATAACTATAAAGTAGGTTATCTCCAGTCCACTCAGTGGAAACAGATTATCTCAGTGTGTTACTGCAGGATGGTGAATTCAAACAGACCTAGTTTAATATAGTACACAAACACACAAGAGAAAACTGATATTTTTATCTCACATTTTTCAATTTAATAGTCCCACTGCACTTTATTTGCTTGTACTTCATACATACTGTACTGTACCCTCTTAAATTGCATGTGATGTAGCAATCAGGGTTTAGATAATCTTATATGGTCCTTAAAGCAGGACTATGTAACTTTTGAGTGAAGAAGTAGCACATTCTCGCTCAGTTCAACATACTCGGGGGTTTTGCTGCTATAGTCTTGGTCTGGTGTGAATAGTAGTTTATGGTGACTAATGTTAGCTGGCAAGCACATTCATTATGTTGACTTTATGAGTCCTCTCTACTTGTGCTACTGTTACACAATGTTTGAGCATTATCTTGTGTTTGTCAGTGGTGGCCACAGTGCCTGCTGTTTATGAAAAGTTACACAGTCTCACTTTAAAGTAATAAAAGCTGGCACATTTATGTACTTTAAATAAACATTACAAAATCAGCATTACATAAGGTAAACCAGAGGAAAGCTCTGTTATCTCTTTGAACCTTAGAAAAATGTTTAATGCAAATTTGTACACATAAAACACATACATACAGTACAGTGCATACATAAAGTCTCATAAAGTATAAATGTTTTTAATGTTGGCCTACATTAGTATGTCAGCACATACTTTTGTACATCTCGTCAAACGTACTTCATAATAAACCGGTCCACAGTGGACCGAATGCAAACTGGTTGGACCACTTTGGCCAAAGCTGGATCCACAACAACAGATAGTCTTTTGCACCTGCTCATGGAAAATCTGAAAAAAAACAACTTATGACCATGTTTTGTAGTGTTTTTTAGAGCATTTGAGGCTGGTGTGTGTGTGTGTCCTACACAAAAATACAGTAGATACAAGCTGTCCGATTCATTTTGATACTAAGTAGAAAGCTCTGTGCAAATCTGAGCTCAGGCAGGAGGTCCAATCCTAGCTTTTGGGGAATTTACTCCTCCTGGGGGGAATGGTGTAATCCATAGTAGCTTTTCTATCAGTCCTTCACATTAACGCAGATACAATAAGACATAGAAAGCTATTAAATGCACCCATGCTCTGAGGGCAGAACAATTAGGGAATGTCAGTTTGTGAATACAAAATACTGCCGATGATTTTTAAAGAAAGGGGGCTGGTATATGGCATATAAATTGTCAGGCAAACTCAGGTACACCAGCGGTTATCTTCACATCATACCACATCTCTGTCACGCCGCACCCAAAACCAATGCAAAGAAACACACCATATAAAACAAAATGTAAAATTAAAATATAAAAACATGACAGAATGGAAACAATATCCTATAATATATCAAGTATTCATAATATACAACAATACAATTTAATAAAAATCAAACCTAAAAAGGAATGTAGTTCTGGAAAAGTACCACTAGAGGTCAGCAAATATTCATGCTCAGATATCCAGTTAAACACTTGAAATATTTATCTGCAGTGAAAAGTTTCTTCTGCTTGTGGACTAACTCTTCAAAACACTTACAGACCTCACTTCTTATCTTCAGGCTAACCTCTTTTCAATTCCACATAGCAGCAGCAGAAGTAGTAGTAGTAGTGGTTCATCAATTCAGCAAAATCCACTTAGTTACATTCTTGATATGAAGTCTCACAGTATAAATGTTTTTTTTGTAATCTAACACTGACTTGTATGTGCACAGTGGTCTCAAATGTCTCACTGAATAACATCTCGACTGCATCAGGAGAAATAAGCATTCCCCACGTATCGAAACTGACTCATGCAGTCATGGGAGAACTTTTATTCTCAACACTTTCTGTTAATGTTCCTGTAAAGAGTTTTTGTTTTTTTGAAGTTATCTTCCATCTCTGCTCGTTTGTTCGAATTTTGAAAATAATTCGTCTGTCCAGCTGTGGATCCCCTCCCAGGATCGTGTGTTTTCAAACTCCAGGCTGGTTTCTAGTGTCTTCTGTGTCTTGACTCTCTCCGGCTCAGTCTCTGGGTAGACACTCCTCCTCGGTGATGCCCTGAGCCTTGAGCTCCTCGAGGACGTTGTCCAAGTGGCCGGGGTCCGGGTAGCCGTGGCCCGTCAGGTTGGAGCCGAACTCCGTCTTGTGGTGCACCTCGTTCCAGATGACTGTATCTGACTCGCCGGTGGTGCTGGACGTACCCACAGAGAAAATGAGTCGGCGGTCCCACGCTACCAGAAGAAGCCTCAGAACCTGGGCGAAGAGATTATGAAACAAAACGCGACACTTTAGCACAAATACAGTCCAGTCACGTATGCTTGAAAACAGCAGAGAAGAGTTTTCATTTACCTTGCGTCCCTTCTCGCTGTCAGGGAGGTAGCAGTGTCTGGGGAACCCGCGGGCAGTGAAGGGTTTGCCTGGATTTGGGTGCTCTGGGCCCTAAGCAACAAGAGTAAAGTTCATCATGTCATCTGAGTAAAGCAAAAAACACTTCCTGTATTCTTAATTTAGAAGCTAGTGTCACGTAAACTTGGGTAACCTGATTTTACCTGGATGCCAGGAGGGATGTTATAAATGATCCGGATGGTTTTGCAGTCCGGGTGGCCGGGTAGCGAGTGGGGGATGACGTGGTACTCCATCTTGCCCGGAGGCTGGTTGCCGGTCTTGACCCCGTAGATGGTCTTGCAGGTGGGACACTGCAGGCTGCCGTCCTTGTTGCCATTGTTGTACATAGCAACAAGGCATTGGAGGTGGTACTGGTGACCACACTGCGCCAGGCGGCCCACCGATTCCGCCCGGGAAATGCCACCTACACCGGGGCCTTTGTAGCCTGATGGTCCGGCCAGAGCCTCCATACAGATGGTGCAGTCCTGAAATGTGAACACGAACATGCTTTATGACTTGTCCAGTCCGATATAGACAGTTGACAACATGTCCTTTCTTTATGTTGTCTTTCTATTTTTAGCCAGTGAGAACAACTTTTTTCAAATAATGAATGTGGATGAATTAGAAGATGAGGCTCTGGGACTAAACCATCTTAATGACATCTGAGCAAACTCCATCTGCTGATGAAGATGTGGCTAAAAAATCTTTTTTTGTGAAACTGCAATTTTTTAAAGCTCAATCGTGTTTTCTTGTTTCAATGAGGACAACAAACTTTTACAACCTGCCTATGGTTTACCCAGATAGAACTGTGAGGCTTTTAAACTGGATTCAACAGTATGCCATACCCAACAAGGCAATAAACCCTCAGAATGTATTTGGGCCGCGGGTTTTCAAGGTTTTATTTGACTGAACTGGTAGCTAAAAAGGAGAACTCACCTCCTCTGGGGGATTGCGGACTTTCTGAAGGTACCGCTTCACCACCTCCTCAGGAGTCTTGCCTACAAGACATAAACACAGAGTATGACGATCTGTTTCCGACCAGAGTGCACATGATAGGCGTGACCGCACACGGGTGAAAAAGCAAGCAGACTTCATCGTCGTCAAACCCACCTTTACGAGCCTGTTTCTTTGTGGTCTTGCGACAGCAGTGGCCCAGACCGGGCACAGGCTTAATGTCACTTTTGCTGACAGGTGGAGGATGAAGCACCAGCTTGGGAGGGCGAGTCAGGCAGACAGGAAGTCCTGCTGCGCTCATCAGGATGCCTGTAATGCCTGGGTACAGCCAGCAGAGGGGGGAGGTTAGACACTGTATTTGGGGTTTACTGGTTGTGTCATGAGCTGTTTATCCTGGGAATTATCTATCAGCCATACTCGTGATGGCTGGCCGGTGGATTTGCTGACATATCAGTTAAATTTGGGGATAAATGTCATAAGCTGTTTCGGCTGTAGGGCAGTAAACTAGTCTCAAGTTAAGGTTTATTTTTAAGTACAACAAACTTTAACTTGTAAGATGCCTCTTAAAAACTGAAACTCATAAACTGATTTTACACCTCTTCTGACTGATCTAAATATAATGAGAAAGAAATGGGTTGTGTGAATATATTTACCTGCAAGCGCAGGGTGGACAGGGCTTGATCCATTCAGGTTCTTCACTGGAACTGTTGGCACTCTGAAACACAAGTAAACAAATCATATTAATCTACAGGTCACTGACACACTGAAGGCAGACGCACAACTGGCCCGGTCACCTCAGCCCAGATTCAAAGCGTCACAATCTAATGAGTCACCTGTAAAGCTGGAAGGAGGCACACGCGACACACGCAGACTTCTAGTTCACCACATGTCAGCAGGTTAAGGAGCTTTTGCCAAGTCATGCGGAGTAACAAACAGACGTTGCTCATCACAACTTGGCGTACTGTGTGAAGATAGCCAGATAGGACATCCTGCTATGTAAGGCTTAGGATTAGGATGTGTACGGCAGCACTAGACAGTCCGCACTTGACAAATGAGTTATTTCTTTGGGTAAAACTAATATAATACTTATAAAGGAGCCAGGAGGGACAATATTAGTAATGATCGCACTAACCCTCGCAGAATGCAAAGATTTTTCAAGACAAATTAAGGTACTAAGGTACTCAAACTACTTACAGCAGCTTTGATTTTATAAAGCACCATTCATTTTTCAGTGGTGGACAGTATTTGTACTTTACTTGAGTATTTTCTTTTCATGCCGCTTTCTACTTATACTCTACTACATATCAGAGGGAAATACTGTACTTTTTACCTCACTACATTTATCTGACAACTTCAGTTACTAGTTACTTTAGAAACTAAACTACTCAAGGGTTTATACAAGTACAGCGAGTACATTACTTGATCAAAAGAAATTTAACTGGCAACTATTTTTACAATCGTTTAAGTCATCTTTTATGTAAAAACATTTCATGGTTGCAGCTTCACAAATGTGAAGATTTGCTGCTTTTCCTTTTAATTATTTTAATGTATTTTTAATCCTTTTAAGGTTTTGGACTGACAAAACATGCACTGTGAAGGCATCACTTTGGGTTCTGGGCAATTTCATTTATCACTATTTTCATAATTCTGACATTAGTTGCAGTCTGATAGAAAATAGTTGAACCTCAAACAACAGCAACAGTAAAATCCTGCTTTTACATTAATGCATGTAATGTAATAATAATCTAATGATATACATGATGGTATATATGATATACAACAGTGGACATTTTTCATTCTGCATTGAATACTTTTACTTTTAACAGTTTTTCTCTGATTATACTTTTACTTAAATACCATTTTCAATCCGATACTTTTACTGGTAACAGAGTATTTTCTGTAAGGTAGTACTTTTACTTAAGTAAATGAATACTTCATCCACCACTGTCATTTTTATTTTTATTTAAACTCCTTAAATATG